CTGAGGAGTTCAACCTTTTGCCTCAGGGGCTGCAAAAGTACATACAAAATAGACAGTTCCATCAGTACTATAATCGAGGTAGATTTTAATTGACAATTCACTGGATGCTTTAAAATCGACTTGATTTATTTATAATGTCAATGAAAAGAGAAATGATCAATTAATTAAGAGCCATTTTTTCGTTACTACGACTAGTGATATGGAGCTAAAGACATTAATTTCATAGTCTATCGTAAAACAGGTTTTTTTGCAGTTAACTCGGTAATTTGGAATTGTTGTATTTTTGTTATTCTTGAATAGAATTAACAGCCACTGTGCTCCCAGTGAGTTCTTTATAACGTCCTCCTCAAATTTCTGTATTAACCAGCAGACACATACATTCTAACACATACATTTATATCCTATACAATTAGTAGGCTGCAGATGTTAGCTTCTGAAAAACTCACAGTGACATAATTCCTCATCATCTTCAAAATTCTGTTTTTCAAGCCCATCATTCTAGTGAAATCCTCAACTTCAATCAATCTGTTTATTGTTTTCTAAGTTCTAAACGTAACTTTTCCTCTTGGTTTTTCCCTTCTTAATTTTCTTAGTTTGAAAATCTTGGAGTTTCTCTCCACTATTTCACTTCTATGTGGTAAAATTTGATTGGACTCAGTTTAACAAAATGCCAGTTAGTTGAAGAAATATTATAACGGGTAAAAAAAATTAGCAATTTTAGTTGACTGAGGTGACTGGCATTTTTCGTTCCAGTTATCCATCGGATAGCTTTTTTAAGAGTTTTTCCAGATTCGACTTGTCAGATCGATCTTGAGAGCGCAACACACTGAAACCTATACGTAAGACCCGGAAGGACCAAGGTAACGATGTTTTCAAATTGTTGGAAACAATCCTTTTCAGGAGAAAAAAAACACTATAACTTCTTCAAACTCACTTCTATGTGTGTATGCCAGGTCAGGTATTTGCTTAAAAGTACCCCTGGGTCCTTGATAACGTCTGATTGTTCTAGGGAAGCAACTTGTAAAAATAAAAGAGTCTCAGCTCCTCTGAACATAATCTTAAAACATTTATTCATTGCTAGACTCATCTTGTTTTTGCTGACCTAGGTATCAATGGTGTGTAAGTTTGAATGTACTTGGACATAACTCTTGCTTAGGGAGAGAATTTAAGTCGTCAGCGAACGAGTGAGGGTCGCTAAAATTTAGTACATCCGGCATATCATTTATATTCATACAAAACAGAAGTGGTCCTACTAGAGAGCCCTGTAGTACACCGCCTGTCAATTCCAGCCAATACACAAGGATTTTGGAACGATAAACCTGTTTTATCCATTCCAAATAATTGCAATTGCCCACTAAAATAATAAAAATTGCAATTGACCATCCCCGCATCCAGCAAGTTCATTAAGAAATTTTATGGAGTGCTTTAATAAACGCTTTCAAAATGCTGTGTAAAAAGCGATGACCTCGCAAGATGAATCTTTGTCTAGAGCTTGTTGATTTCTCTTGAGGAAATCTAATAGGTTTGTGACCACTCAATTTTTCTTGACAAAATCATGCTGGCCTGAATTTAAGTGCCCTGCAAAGTTCTGGTACAAATCATTATAGATACACTTTTAAAAATTTTAGTAAAAAAACTTACGATTGATACAGATCGGTAGTTTTCTATTGTACACCTATCTCCTTTTTTGAACACTGGTGTCACCGCTGCCAGTTCCCATCTGATTGGTAATTTACTGATGCGTATTATATATAGATTTTAAAGTTTTGTTCGGAGCGACTACCATTTGCCTTCCGGTTTAGTCGTCCCTCTAGTTTTTTTTATATCTAATGTTGCTGATAGTTCGTGAAGAATCTCTATCGAGACACAGAAATTCGTCAATGTCGTTTCGATTATGTTTTTCTGCAATATGAATTGATTCTTTTAATGATTCTTTTGGTGAGAAAGTTCATTCAACATGGCTACTTTTTCATTGTGATTACTGTTACTTTTTGTCTCTTTTACTTTGGGTAAAATACAGAAACTGTTTAAATTTTTGAGGTGTTTAAAATCAAGATTTGTGTTTTTTGTTCAATAATGTTTTGCTGATATGTAGGTCTGACACTTTCGGCGGCGTCAGTTACGATCGCTCTTAAATTATCAACGTGTCTCTTCCTGTAGCTTATAGGTTTTGCAAGAAGTAAATGCTGTTTGTTTGTAGTCTAATTATTCGGTTAGAGGTGCATGGAAAATCCATAGAGAGAGATTGTTTAAGCCTCGTTCTTCGTGGAACTCACAACTCTACGATATCATAAAAAAAACTGATACAATTCTTCACTCATTTTACGTATGTTGGTATGAACAGCTTAGCTCTTCATAATCAGCATAGCCGAAGCTTCTGTAGTTCGCTATAGCTTCATAATTTTGTGCTGAACTTCCACCAAAATTTGTATTGCATGGTGGTCTGAGAAATCATAGATTTTTGAAAGGATTTCGTTTTCTCAGGCAATTTTGATAGAGTGCAGCATAAAGCAGGTTATTGGATCAAAGATCAAACTCTATCGCTTCTTTTAAAATTTTTAATTAAATAGTTTGACAATAGTGTGCTTAGAAAGCTCCCGATTGATGTTTAGAAAGTTTAAGTCGTCTCCGCATATTATAAGCGCTGTAGTTTTCGAAAAACTGCGAGTTACTTTTCGAATTCTTTTTTTTATATGTATTTGCTAGAATGGGGTGGGTTATAGAAAACACAGACGTCCAGTTCTTTGCAATTTTTTGTCAGTCTGCATGCTACATATGAGTCAGCAACGTTGCGCTTTAAATGAAAAGACTCTATACTGTTTTTGACGGCAATAAGTGATCCATCATGACACTTTTTATCAATTTTGTGGAGTATGCCTGATCTTTATATGCCAAAATCAGTGAGCATTAGTTCCAAAATAAGCCAGTTTTTGCATAGACAAATGATGTGGAAGTGTTCAGATAGGGTGGCAATTGATAGTTTTGATTTCCTTTTAATCTTAACCAAGGTTCGTGTAATGAGTTCCAGAATTTCAAGAAAATCTAGTCAACTAATTTTGTTAGAGCTTGAGTTTGCTTCAGCTTCTACTTCACTCCGTCGTTGAACAGTCTCTTTAGCTCGACTTTTTTTTTATTTTTTTACCAAATTTTTTCAGTATTGTGTTTTTTTCTTTTTTGTGGGGAGTATATTTTCTCCTCTGGATTTCGATGGGTCTTCGGTGAACCCTTGAGTTCAAATCCAAAAAAAAACGGCTGATATTGTGATCAGAGTTTGTTCTTGCGTTTTGGATTTTTGGCGGATGGGTAGATCAACCTCTTTTTTGTGATTTTGCATCCATCACATTTGAATGTATTCTGTCATATTTCTCACCAGTCGAGTTTAACGTTTCCTCTTTTTTTGTCATTTTTCACACTCAGTTTCTTTTCTATTTTTTGCAAATTTTCTTTTAATTTCCTTCTCTTCTTGCTGCTTTTTCTTATAAACTTATCGCAACATTACATTCATTGCATTCATACTCAGCTCCAGTATACCATTTAAGTCGAAATTTGCTGTGAATTCAGGTGTTGGATGATTGTGACAATGGCATGAGACACAGTGATATGTTTTCTCCTTTTCCTTTGGAATGGTTCAGCAGGTCTTGCAAACATGAACCATTGTTTTTATTGTAACTGGTGGCACCTGATTGTATATGTGGAAAAAAAGAACAAGAGAGATAATTTAGTACTGATCAACCGGTGGCACCAAGAGGTACCTTTGGAAAATCAGTACTAAGTATACTCACTGATTTACTGACGTTGAGTGTTCCCCAGATCGGCACACTGACAATTGTTCGTATGACAAGTTATCTTCTTTGTGTTTTCGGCTTCATTCAGTTTCTTGTCGTGTTTCCAGTACAAATGTTTGCCTTTGATTAGGTACGTTTTTGATGTTTTTTAGGCCATCGTTGTTGAGGAGATTTGTATCTGGTTTAAATTAGCGTCTACTTGACTTAAGGCTACTGACACCGCGGTTATTCGACTCGACTTTTGCCTGAACTCTCAGTGAAACTCTCTCAGATCTCGCTTGATGTCGTATGCGTGCCTTATACCGGCTCCAAGGAGTGGAAGGATATTGATGTTGACAGTTTTTAAAAACCTAGACTGTGAATCTGCTATTAATGAGTAATTCTTCGGAGCAGCTTTGAAAATATGAAACCTCGAGCATCCAGGCATACAACGCACTTGTCTCTAAAATCCTCCCATTGAAGGCACCAGATTCGATTAATAATAAATAAGAAATTATTTCATGATGAGAGATCTTGTACCTATGAATGACAAAACTTTGACTGCGTGCAGATTCCAGAATTCCAGAAGCTTTAATTAGGCGTCTAAATTTTGTACCGGTAACTTTACTTCAACTGTGCAGTGTATGTTCAATTGCCTAACTTACTAATTGTCTCAAATCATCAGAAGATCCGAAGTATCATAGTAACCGAAAATACAGTCAGAAATCTTTTCAGCATTTTATCCAGTCAAATCTTCAAAGTTTTCTAGATATGGAAGAGTAAAGTATAATATCGGTAAAAGTAGAGAGAGTCAGATGGTTGGGAATCAAGCCAACCAGATTGAGAAACTTAATACCTTTATAAAATAAACCGAAAGTGTAAGTAACTCAAAAAAAATGACCTGATATGAGGCTAAGGATTTATCACATAGTTCTATAAAGCTAAGCTTTTATTCCCTTGGCTCTATAAATGAAAAATTCTCCGAAGGTATTTTTTATCATTAATACTGCTGAGTACTCAGGCAGAGTTCGCAACCTGTTTTGCAAGGAAGACTCTCTGCTTCAAAAAACAACCTGCCGTGGGTCCCTCAAAAAACGTGCAAATTTTTTTGACAAAACTTCTTCATAAACATCTCAGTGCTCGGGACGGCAGCACCCTGAACGTCAAAGCTATTGGTTGAAAATTATATCCATCATTATTTGAATCTTTGTATATGTCAGATTTTTGATCTTTTGCCTTGGCCGCGGCCCATCTGGGACTATCAACCAAGCCTGCGCTTATTCTACTTAGAACTAGGGAGTCAACTACAGTTACATCCCACAGAAGCTGCCTAGCAACAGCCCATGGGACAAACGTCACATCGTATGGTCGCTTCTGATCTGTACTGTAGAGATGTCGTGGCTCTAAAACAGACGGAATGTGAGTGGAGGCGAGATTTTGCTTTATGGGGGCATTCAAATTGGAATGCCTAGAGAATCTACCTGCCTTTTTGGGACAAAAAAATCCTTCCATCCAACTTCGCTTACATCTTTTCCGCAAACGAGTGTATGTTTTTTAAACCTAGGCGGAGTCCAACTGCTATCCTAATCTGCTGATTCGACAACTTCAATCTCAGGTTTTATACCGCATGACAATCAACCATTGTGATTTGAAGAACTTATTTTGGTAAGCAATGACCCTTTTTACGTCACGAAAATCATTTTTCAAAACCATCTGAGGAATTTCTGTATCAAAAATGGGCTCAATCGTTTTTTTAAATCTTTTTTCGGGACTAATTCAATTGTTAATGAATCAAACCAAAGTTCTTATGCACCATTATATGATCCATCCTCGCGCTCCAAACCAAAAATCTCAATCCTACTGCCGACTTTGAAAAAGCGCGTAAAGGTAGGAAGCGATCGGAAGATACCTTTGGCTGCCGGGAGAACTGCTTGCAAAAATTGGCTATCAATCGTTTTTGCATTTGTTACCGTGCATATAGAGTTTCCTAAAGTTCTATCGTATTTTTTCAAAAAATCACTCCGCAAAAAATAAGGACTTGTACGCAAAAACTATAGGAGGTTCGGCAAGCTTAAGCAATTTTCTGAAAACCAAAATGTACATCTAGCTTAACAAAAACCTCAAAAATATTTTCCAGCTCACCTATTTTTTCATTTTGCTTTCTTTTTGACAAGATTGGCTTATAGAGGAGCCCAATATTACAAATTCATCCTTGGATTTGATTTTTAGTTATGACAGACTTTCGAAATTGACCTATAACTGTATTTTACTGCGTACTTGTGGTTTGTCCTTGAAAACATAGCTTGCATTTTTCTGTGTTTAGGCTCAAGCTGTAGTTTTCTAATTTCAGTCTGTTTTCAAGGACTTGCAGCACAATCTTGTAGTCACCGGCTAAGTTTCCATCATCTAAATACCAAACTTATATTTTGGATTTAACCTTTTTAACTAGCGTCCTTATTATTTCAGCAGAAAACTCAGGAGTCTCGGGATCACTTGTTGTGTTCCGTCCTCCAACATAAAGATGGAATCTACATAAAAAAAGATAAATCGGTTTACTGTAGGCGCAATTAGTATATTTGAACAGTTGCCGGTGATTTGAAAAAACGTGATTCAGCATAGTTTCTCTTTTAAGCGATTTAAGTGATTTGCTAAAAATTAATTCAAGTAAAATTGCGCACTTCGTGTTATCGTCACGCTCTATCAAATTTCTAAATGAGTGTGCAGCATTTTAAGCTCCTCGGTTAAATGTAGATCCTAATTGAAAAATCCCAAAATTACTGCGCATTTAGAAAATGGCAATGGATCGCAAACCACTGTCTCTTTTTACGAGGGCGATAGGTTTTGCTCCAAATAAGAAAGGTCTCAACTATCAAGTTTAGGAGATTTTGAGCAATTTCAAAAAACTGGGCCCCGCATTGCCATCTGATTTTCTAAAAAGGCATTTAACAACTTGGGGAACAATCTTGTCCGTCCGGTTCTCCAACCATTTGAAATTGACTTTTTTGCTTTGTACACCTCGAACTCAGTTTTGAAAAAACTATCGATGTTTTTCGGGTTTGTAGCATTTTTATCGTCTTTTTTTTGGGTGCTTATATGCATTTTTTCATAGTTAGGAATCAAAAAAGTTTCTGCGTTGTCATTTGGAGCGGCCAGTTTTGCTCCTCCTTTTATTTTACCCTCATTGAGCTGGCTGCTGATTAGCTTCATTCTCGATACCTGTCTGTGCAGGTTTCACCCTCGAGGAAGGACTTTAAGCCGTGAAACATTATTGGCTCTATTTTTTTTGTTTACTATAGAGTTAATAGCTGTCGTCTATTTACGACTATTTCTTTTGGGATGCTCATGACAAAAAAAGAAGGACGTCAGAAAAAGTAGCCAAAATTATATTTTTCTACATGAAGAAAATATCAATCATTTTAACCGAATCACTTTCTGCCATGGTCCTCAGGTACTCTTTTGAGCACTCGAACAGTAGAAATGACTGTATTGAGATAATTATCTAGCCTTTAGTCATCACTAATTGAAGCCTTGTTGATAGCTTTCACATTAACACATAGGACTTTGAAATCATTGGATCTTAGTCGCTGAGAGTTATATTTACACTTGATACAATTGATTTGATTCCTAAGAAATTTTTGCTAAAAGTAAGTTTCAAACCTTTTGCGACTATGTGCATCGTCAGAATTTCTACAATAAACCAATCTAAATGACAAAAAAAACATCAATTTACAAATGTTATTTTACAATAAATCACATACATTTTGGTTCTAAACCATCATGTTAAAAATTAGCCAATCGCAGTTGACCTCTAAATTAATATTACGATTACAATACTTTTAAACTCTAAAAGTAATTAATTATTTTTCAATTTTTTTGTCTGGAAATTTTTTTAATTGATTTGATTCCATTCAGAACAACAATCACATCTTATCCAATTGAAAAGTCCTGAAGGTTTTAAGCATTCTTTGATTGTACGCAGCTTATTGTTTTTACTCATCTTGACGGCGCGGCGTAAGGGTAAATGGAAAATTAACTGGACACAAGGGGACTAAATTAACCCATAAAAACATTATTAGACTTTTATACTTGAAGAAAAAATTATTTCAAATTAATTTAGAGAAAAATAAAATCTATAAAACTCGCTGAAAAGGAACAATCTCACCCGAGCCAGCCCCGCACCACCAGACTCTCCAGGCCACGAACTCCTTCCCCCAGATCAGAGACCTACTTGACAGAACTGCCTCTAAAATCCATCAGAGGGCACTCGACAAACAGGCACAAACATCAAACATATCTTATCTATTTAATAAATTTATTTCAACAATTGGGCCAATCTTATTTAATAATGGAGGGTTCAGAAATTACCCTAACCTATAATAAAGAGAACAATAATAAAAACCGATGATAACTGTCGAAATACCTGGATGCGGGAATTGAATCGGTCTCGAAGTAGAAATAATGGCTGCTTTTGATGCAGGAATAATCTATCACAATTATCGAATAACCGAGTTTGATTTTTTTTAAAATTAAATTACAAAAGGGGCCCTTCCGTTAAGTTACGGTAAGTGCACAAACTGGATTGGGCCATACCAGCGTTATAAACATGCATATATATCAGCAATAAAGTCATAAATCAGCATTAATTGCATCGTCGTAATGTTAATTCATCTTAGCCGTCCTTCCTCTACAATAGCGTTTATGGAGTTGTCGATCAATTGAACTTTGCGTAGCGATCTGCAACCTCTTATAAAAAGTATAGAGCTCCTCAGGAGCACAAAGCTTATTTTAGTTCTTTTGTAGTTTATAGATTCTGGATAGCTTTCTTATCTTTTTTCACTTACTTTTCCGGCTAATCGCTGTATCATCCAAGTGGCTGGTGGAGCAGCGCCACCGGTGCATCCGAAAATTAGCGGGCAGAAGCTACTCTGCTCTACGTTTAAAATTCTTTGCTGATATTTGGAGTTCTTCAGCGTTTCGTGGTATTTGTATGCGTCTTTATGCATTTTTCGCGATGTTTTGGCATGCGGGTTGAAAAGTTTCACATCAAAGAAAGCGCGGCTGAACCATGAATCCCATGGTCCGTTTGCCTTAATGTCAAGTCGTGCCTCATCTTCAGTTAGTTGTAGTTGAATTGTTGACAAAGTTTTTGCCTTGCAACGGCTGAAGTTTCGGCTCAATCTCGACGTCATGGCAAACCTCGTTCATGAGGTTGGCGAATGTGTCTCTAATTTCATTGTGTCTTAGTGTGTAAACACCCTTTGCACAGTGAAGCGCATGTGTCAAGTTAAAATTATTACCACATGCACATGTGAGTGGGGTTTCGGTCGGTTCCCATCCGTATCTCAAGTAAATAATATCTCTGAATTCTGATTTATTCAGGTTGAAAATGTATCTGCTCAGTGACAAAGCATTAAGCCAGTTAGAGGCTCTCTTTTCAGAGGCCAGGTCGATTGCGTTTTTATCTGTTTCATTTAAGGAGTTAATGAGCTTTGTTTTTTTTTCGATTTGTTCTATCAGTTTTCAGTTTTTTGATTTTCGTACAGATTTTTTCTTGCTGTGTTACAGCTGTAACAGGATCTTGAGATTCCAGTACTAGTGATGTTTCCTTAGACCATTCTAGATAGCTTTTATGATCGGATGGCAGCTTGATGTTAAATCCGTCCATTTTAAGGGGTAATGAAGATTTCTCATGGAACTGGGGGTTTAAAGTGTCTTTACCGACTAGGTTAGGTATTAATTGTTCTTTGATAATATTTTCATATATTTCTAACTTTTCCATAGTGTTAGGCGTTCTCCTGGTAAGAAATGAAAGCTTTTCTTGAACTCCTTTAGTATAGCACGCATAAACGTTTTGGGGGGAGGTTTTAGCAATTTTCATAAGTTTTTTCAAAATTTTGATTCGCTCATTCTGTTGAAACTCGAGGAACTTTTTACATTCACATACTGTTCCTATAACTGAGCCAAGCACTCGGGTTCTTGTCTTTATCGTGATTACTGTATTTGCGAAGATTTTCTGAGCTTCACCGAGTGTTTCATTCTTGAGAATGAGTTGGCATTCGGATGCTTTCACGTGGTAGCCGAAAAATTTACTCAGTGATACATTTTTATCGAGGACGGGTCGTAGATTACTTAATTTACCGACTACGTTTCTGTCGTCTGCGTACCATTTCTCGATTACATCATCTACTGATAAAAATTTTATGAGGCGTATTATGGCCGTACATGGCCATTGCATGCTGATCCCCCTGGGTTTTCCCTTCTTCAGAGTAGATGTTTTTTTGTTAACGAACAGTTTAGATGGATTGGAGTAGGAGTTCTGAATCGTCGTTAAAAGAGAAGGGCGGGTATTTTTGATGTTTTTCAATGCCAGCTTTCGGTTAGCGAGTTGAGAGCGTTTTCGGCATCTATCAGTAAAACAGCATCGGCGGAGGTTTTGCTGTATTGATCTCTTAGCGTGTGAATCGCATATTCAATGCCACATTTTTGTCCTAGACAGAGTTGGTAGTTCGAACTGAGCGACTTGAGTTCGTTTTTTAGGCATTTGGTTAATGTTCGCCCTATATCCTACGCAAAACTTCTCCTATGCCTATGGGTCTTACTCCTGGATTCTTATCTAAGGGTAATAATCTACATGCGTTATATGGTTCCATTAGTTCTGGATTTAGTTCTTCGGTGGCCAATTTTTTGGCATTTTTAGCATTGATTTTTGAAAGCTCAACTGATTGTTGCTCGAAATGAGTTGAAATACGTCTACATTCATTTGCATCGAGGCCAGATGGTCCATGCAAACTGTGCGTTCTCATGGCTGCCTTCTTGATATGTTGAGCGTTTATCTGATCAAGTATCGATGGATGGAAAGCAATTGTTTCGTTTGAGACTGGTGTAATATAGTTCTCATCAATTGGTTTAGATGGTGAGTGCTTCTCTATGATAGTCTGTTCTACTGTCTTACCTTTGACGATCTCGTCGAGTGAAAGAACGCCTTTGGACGTGTCTGTTAGTTTTGCAATTACGCTTGATATTTTTCCAGTAATCATTAGTTTGTTAAACTGTTGTGCTTCAGTTTCAGTTTTTCTTCTACTTCCTATCAACAAGCGCATTTGCAGCGCCTTCCCTTCGTTATTTAGTCCATCCAGGTCTCCGTCTTCCCATTGCTTAAGTCGCCTTGCTATTGTTTTGGATAAAGATCCATCATTTTCGGACTTTGTTTTGTCGAGTAGTAAGTGTGAGAAAATCATTGCTGCGTGCATTGCGAAGGTATTTTCGTTGTTTTCTATTAGGCTGTTCAAAGTAGTATTGATGGTTTCAATGAAGTTTTAAGCAACTTTATTTTTTGACAAGATCATAAAGACCGGTTTCCAGTGGACCACTTCGGTTTATATTTTCCTGGTGGTTTCTATGAGTACTGGACTGGGTTTGACCAGGGGTCTTGTATTGTTCTAGGTTCTATTTAAGGAGTTAATGAGGTTTGTTTTTTTCGATAAGACAATCACATTTTATCCAATTGAAAAGTCCTGAAGGTTTTAAGCATTCTTTGATTGTACGCAGCTTATTGTTTTTACTCATCTTGACGGCGCGGCGTAAGGGTAAATGGAAATTTGACTGGACACAAGGGGACTAAATTATACCATAAAAACATTATTAGACTTTTATACTTGAAGAAAAAATTATTTCAAATTAGTTTAGAGAAAAATAAAATCTATAAAACTCGCTGAAAATGAACAATCTCACCCGAGCCAGCCCCGCACCACCAGACTCTCCAGGCCACGAACTCCTTCCCCCAGATCAGAGACCTACTTGACAGAACTGCCTCTAAAATCCATCAGAGGGCACTCGACAAACAGGCACAAACATCAAACATATCTTATCTATTTAATAAATTTATTTCAACAATTGGGCCAATCTTATGTAATAATGGAGGGTTCAGAAAATACCCTAACCTATAATAAAGAGAACGATAATAAAAACCGATGATAACTGTCGAAATACCTGGATGCGGGAATTAAATCGGTCTCGAAGTAGAACTAATGGCTGCTTTTGATGCAGGAATAATCTATCACAATTATCGAATAACCGAGTTTGATTTTTTTTTAAAATTAAATTACAAAAGGGGACCTTCCGTTAAGTTACGGTAAGTGCACAAACTGGATTGGGCCATACCAGCGTTATAAAAATGCATATATATCAGCAATAAAGTCATAAATCAGCATTAAATGCATCGTCGTAATGTTAATTCATCTTAGCTGTCCTTCCTCTACAATAGCGTTTATGGAGTTGTCGATCAATTGAACTTTGCGTAGCGATCTGCAACCTCCTATAAAAAGTATAGAGCTCCTCAGGAGCGCAAAGCTTATTTTAGTTCTTTTGTAGTTTATAGCTTCTGGATAGCTTTCTTATCTTTTTTCACTTACTTTTTCGGCTAATCGCTGTATCATCCCAGTGGCTGGTGGAGAAGCGCCACCGGTGCATCCGAAAATTAGCGGGCAGAAGCTACTCTGCTCTACGTTTAAAATTCTTTGCTGATATTTGGAGTTCTTCAGCGTTTCGTGGTATTTGTATGCGTCTTTATGCATTTTTCGCGATGTTTTGGCATGCGGGTTGAAAAGTTTCACATCAAAGAAAGCGCGGCTGAACCGTGAACCCCATGGTCCGTTTGCCTTAATGTCAAGTCGTGCCTCATCTTCAGTTAGTTGTAGTTGAATTGTTGACAAAGTTTTCGCCTTGCAACGGCTGAAGTTTCGGCTCAATCTCGACGTCATGGCATACCTCGTTCATGAGGTTGGCGAATGTGTCTCTAATTTCATTGTGTCTTAGTGTGTAAACACCCTTTGCACAGTGAAGCGTATGTGTCAAGTTAAAATTATTACCACATGCACATGTGAGTGGGGTTTCGGTCGGTTCCCATCCGTATCTCAAGTAAATAATATCTCTGAATTCTGATTTATTCAGGTTGAAAATGTATCTGCTCAGTGATAAAGCATTAAGCCAGTTAGAGGCTCTCTTTTCAGAGGCCAGGTCGATTGCGTTTTTATCTGTTTCATTTAAGGAGTTAATGAGGTTTGTTTTTTTTTCGATTTGTTCTATCAGTTTTCAGTTTTTTGATTTTCGTACAGATTTTTTCTTGCTGTGTTACAGCTGTAACAGGATCTTGAGATTCCAGTACTAGTGATGTTTCCTTAGACCATTCTAGATAGCTTTTATGATCGGATGGCAGCTTGATGTTAAATCCGTCCATTTTAAGGGGTAATGAAGATATCTCACGGAACTGGGGGTTTAAAGTGTCTTTACCGACTAGGTTAGGTATTAATTGTTCTTTGATAATATTTTCATATATTTCTAACTTTTCCATAGTGTTAGGCGTTCTCCTGGTAAGAAATGAAAGCTTTTCTTGAAATCTTTTAGTATAGCACGCATAAACGTTTTGGGGGGAGGTTTTAGCGATTTTCATAAGTTTTTTCAAAATTTTGATTCGCTCATTCTGTTGAAACTCGAGGAACTTTTTACATTCACATACTGTTCCTATAACTGAGCCAAGCACTCGTGCTCCTGTCTTTATCGTGATTACTGTATTTGCGAAGATTTTCTGAGCTTCACCGAGTTTTTCATTCTTGAGATTGAGTTGGCATTTGGATGCTTTCACGTGGTAGCCGAAAAAATTACCCAGTGATACATTTTTATCGAGGACGGGTCGTAGATTACTTAATTTACCGACTACGTTTCTGTCGTCTGCGTACCATTTCTCGATTACATCATCTACTGATAAAAGTTTTATGAGGCGTATTATGGCCGTACATGGCCATTGCATGCTGATCCCCCTGGGTTTTCCCTTCTTCAGAGTAGATGTTTTTTTGTTAACGAACAGTTTAGATGGATTGGAGTAGGAGTTCTGAATCATCGTTAAAAGAGAAGGGCGGGTATTTTTGATGTGTTTCAATGCCAGCTTTCGGTTAGCGAGTTGAGAGCGTTTTCGGCATCTATCAGTAAAACAGCATCGGCGGAAGTTTTGCTGTATTGATCTCTTAGCGTGTGAATCGCATATTCAATGCCACATTTTTGTCCTAGACAGAGTTGGTAGTTCGAACTGAGCGACTTGAGTTCGTTTTTTAGGCATTTGGTTAATGTTCGCCCTATTATCCTACGCAAAACTTCTCCTATGCCTATGGGTCTTACTCCTGGATTCTTATCTAAGGGTAATAATCTACATGCGTTATATGGTTCCATTAGTTCTGGATTTAGTTCTTCGGTGGCCAATTTTTTGGCATTTTTAGCAATTGATTTTTGAAAGCTCAACTGATTGTTGCTCGAAATGAGTTAAAATACGTCTACATTCATTTGCATCGAGGCCAGATGGTCCATGCAAACTGTGCGTTCTCATGGCTGCCTTCTTGATATGTTGAGCGTTTATCTGATCAAGTATCGATGGATGGAAAGCAATTGTTTCGTTTGAGACTGGTGTAATATAGTTCTCATCAATTGGTTTAGATGGTGAGTGCTTCTCTATGATAGTCTGTTCTACTGTCTTACCTTTGACGATCTCGTCGAGTGAAAGAACGCCTTTGGACGTGTCTGTTAGTTTTGCAATTACGCTTGATATTTTTCAGTAATCATTAGTTTGTTAAATTGTTGTGCTTCAGTTTCAGTTTTTCTTCTACTTCCTATCAACAAGCGCATTTGCAGCGCCTTCCCTTCGTTATTTAGTCCATCCAGGTCTCCGTCTTCCCATTGCTTAAGTCGCCTTGCTATTGTTTTGGATAAAGATCCATCATTTTCGGACTTTGTTTTGTCGAGTAGTAAGTGTGAGAAAATCATTGCTGCGTGCATTGCGAAGGTATTTTCGTTGTTTTCTATTAGGCTGTTCAAAGTTGTATTGATGGTTTCAATGAAGTTTTCAGCAACTTTATTTTTTGACAAGATCATAAAGACCAGTTTCCAGTGGACCACTTCGGTGTACATTTTCCTGGTGGTTTCTATGAGTACTGGACAGGGTTTGACCAGGGGTCTTGTATTGTTCTAGGTTCTATAGTGGGATACTCTCCTAAGTTTTGTGAGTGTGGGGCAGTGGAAGTGTGAGGGTGCATTTGGGGAGCGTGGTTTTAGCTAGGGTTTGGGGATTGCATTCATGCTTGTCGTTAGCTGAATGAAATTGGGAGGTGCAGTGATGACTACTGAAATCGTCATAGTGATCACTGCTGCGGGCTAGGCCGCTGCATTTTACATGCATGTAGCCTGGTCATATGAAGCACCAAACACCTCCGACTCGCAAGCTGTTTTTACAAATACGGCAGTGTGTTTGAGTAACCATTTTAGGAAGGACGACAATGTCAAGTTAACGAGAGAATTTATAGATTAAATTTGCAAGAAATTTTGTGACATTCGACCAGAATGTACGAAAATGCAGTTTCGCATTCAAGTTTTTGTCGACCAGAAAAGAACATCTGACCTGGAAGATTGATGGTTTTAACAGATTAGCGACGTTATTTAAACGATTAGACGAATCGGGAAGGGTCGGTGTTTATTTGACATGTTAACTTTAAAAAATTCGAATTGTGACATCACATTTCTGAAAAATGCTATAACGGCCATTTTGGGACAAAAAACAGAAGAAAAACACAACAACAATACATGCAGCGGGAACAATTACGAAAAAACGGCAGAAGATTGAAATTGTGGTCAGAAATTCTCAGAAACTACTACGAGTTGTAACGATTGTGCCGCTACAATCGTTACCGAGGAGTTCACACGAACGGAGAAGGGTGTTTGGACGACGTGTCCAGCCTTCCGGAAAAAAATAAGAGTTGTTTCTCCGGATTCCAGAATCCGGAGGGGTCTCGGGCCCAAGACTCAAACTGTTTTATACAAACTTTTAGCTTCCTGTTCATGCACTGAATTGAATTTAATTAAAGTCGCGATTCATTTTCAGATAAAGAGTGAGGTAAAGGGTTGATTCATCTTCGATGGAGATGATGATTTTTATCTACTGAACAAAAACAATAGTAATATAATAAATAGTAGTAGCCCTGTTTTTAGGAGTGACCTCGTTGTCTGGGGACTAAATTATACCATAAAAACATTATTAGACTTTTATACTTGAAGAAAAAATTATTTCAAATTAGTTTAGAGAAAAATAAAATCTATAAAACTCGCTGAAAATGAACAATCTCACCCGAGCCAGCCCCGCACCACCAGACTCTCCAGGCCACGAACTCCTTCCCCCAGATCAGAGACCTACTTGACAGAA